GTCGGCAAATTTAAATTTTCGCCAGTGCTGTGGAGCTTCAATCTTTGGCTATGTCTTGGGCTACTCAAATATTTTACGTTTTTGATACTAAATTAACATCTGAAGTATAATTTTTTATTATTTTTATATTTTTCAATATATTTATTTTGTTTGTACAAAATAAAAAAGTAATTTTTAACGATACAATAGTCTTTCTTAAGCTTAACATCGACGAAAATTCAACGCGAAGCGAGATGCAAAGGATAAAAATTTCGACATCGGATACGTTAAACAATTTTTTCGTACGTAAACCAGTTATCCGAAATATCAGTTATCCGGACAACCCCAGTCCCCAATTGATTCGGAAAATCGACGCTCTACTGTAATACGATTTTGTAAGAGAACAAACGGATCCTTCAAAAACCGCCTTGTGTTCTTGAAAGGTTCAAAATTTTTTGTAACATTTAAACATTTCATTTTGCTTTAATATAAAATTTAAAAAAGTATCATTTTAATTTATGGAATGACTCTTTTAATACCAGATAACACATATTTAGCTCAAAAAGGCTTTAAGATATCTTTTCAAACAATGATAATGCTTTAACAATGTTGTCTGTAATGATAAAGTATTACAGTATTGAAGTGTTTGAGAAATGAAAGTTTACAACTCTTCTTCTGATATTTCACAAAAAAAAATTTTCTTATAACACAACTTGAAAATTTTAACACACAACATCCATTAACTTGATATTATATGAAACTTAATAAATGTTTTAAGGTAAATCGTCAAATAAAACATACTTATTATTAGGACTTATTATACTGGATAACTGGTTCTGCAAATTAAGAAAACAGTCAGAAAAACACAGTTTTTATTTATCACCTGAACACATACACCATATCTTTGTGTTTCAGTCCTGTTGATCCCTCATCAGCAGATGTTAGACCGACATTTTCTAAAAATAAGATTAAAGAATTATTTTCGTGCAATTAAAAAGAATTATGCAAATTAGGCGGTAACGAAACATTGCAATTTAACAGCATGCGAAATAAATATGAACAATGTCAAAATAAAAAATATAATTATAAAAGGCAATTATACGAACACATTCAGATATTTAGGCAAAAAAAAAACAGATTAATTAAATAACAACACAGGAAGAGAAATACACCAATCATGGAACGGGATTATCGATAGAAGAAGGGAAGGGAAAGAAGAAGGGAAGTATAAAGGGAGAAATAAAAATCAAGTAGGATTAAGACGGTGCCCACCAGTGGCCGAGCGGTCTTCGTCCCCGCATTTGGGTTGGACTTAACCCTCAACACTGGAAAGT